TTAAGAATTAACCGCTGTGAAAGTATTATGTAAATGATACATGCTTTTCAGATGTAAATTACTGTAGTTAGACAATAGGTTTACTAAAAAATTGGAAGCCCCTAGTTTCTCCAATCCTGTGCTCAATAAAGACTGCCCAAGAGAGGGAGTAAGTGTTCTGTTTAAAAGGCTTTCCCGGTAGCCGGGTTGAAGTCAAGAAGCAAGTCTCTCTCATGATGTCTTCTGTCAGTCAAGACTTAAAGCGTTTGGAAACAAAAGGTTTTCTATTGTATACTTATTAGGGGTAATTGAAAGTCTTGCCTTTATAAGGCAGAACAGCATAGGTCACCTATAATAATCGACTATAGTAAAAACCTCGTTACTTTAAGACCCTACTACTATAGTTTAGAATTTAGACAGGAATTGGACAAATGCTTGTCTTAGCTAGTGCAAATTAACCGTGTAAACACAGCGAGGAGGGGTGGGAATGGGAAGGGCATCTTTAAGAGGGTTTGGAGCATCCATTTATATACATTAAATTATGACTTCTTAGCTATTAAGGCAAGGCCACCAAGGACCCCACCCCTAACATTTTAAGAGAAAACTTTTTTCCCTTTGTAAGATGTCTTAATAGTTCAATTCTGATTAAATTGCCTCCTCCTTCTTCTTTCCTCCTCCCATTAGCCTGGATTAGTGATTTTACTGGGAAGCTTAGAAACACTGTTCTGCATCAATTGAAACTATTTCCATTTTTATTGTCATTAAAAAATAAACTTAAAAGCACTTCAGAGAACCAAGTGTAGGCTTTATTTCAAAGAATTTAAGAAAATCTATGTTTTCCCAATAACTTTTATGCACTAAGAGAGGAAAGAAAGAAGAAACTGGAGAAGGTAAACACATGACCTAAGAGCTAGGTTGGGGTGTTGGTGCTGGAGTATATTTAGCCCACTAGAAATAGCACAAGCAATGAGGGCACACAATGAAGATGTCTTGATAGGAATATCTAGACATGATTTACCTTCATATTTTCCCAGAGTTTGACTGAAGAAATTTCCAATATTAAAATCCATGTCTTTTTTTTTTTTTGAGGAAGATTAGCCTTGAGCTAACTACTGCCAATGCTCCTCTTTTTTGCTGATGAAGCCTGGCCCTGAGCTACCATCCATGCCCATCTTCCTCTACTTTCTACATGGGGCGCCTACCACAGCATGGCATGCCACGCGGTGCCATGTCCGCACCTGGGATCCAAGTTGGCAAACCCCAGGCTGCCGAGAAGCAGAACGTGCGCACTTAACCGCTGCGCCACTGGGCCAGTCCCTAAAATCCATGTCTTGATGTCTGGAATTTTTTGTTTACAAATGGCATCAGGAAATCGTGTAAAGAAAATTAAAGCTATGAACATAACTAGTTAAATCTTTATTCATTAGCCATGTTCAAACAGTAACATGTAGTCCTTATGAATTAGGACTAAGAATGTCATAGTTTACTCCTTCGGGAGGAGGGGAGCATCAGCAATTGAGGAGTGTGTAGGAGCAGGGAATCCTGATATAGGTAAAACCAAAGTGGCAGAAACTATAATTAGAGATTTGCATTTGGGGCTCTCATGCAAAGTTCCTTACAGGGTTCTGTTTTTACCAGTTTCTAATTTTGCTGAACTTAATCTTTACCAGATAGGTGATTTGGAAGTTTCCCTCCCTGTCGACATCAACTCGTTTTAAATTTCCCATAAAAGTTTTAGAACTGAGTCTCATCTATAGTTGAAAGGTTTATCCCTCTTGTCCTTCAATAGTTTGCAAATATTCTAAATAGAAAGGCTGCCACAGATGGGTCATGTGTTTCTTTTTTAATTAAAAACACTGTGTGTGACAGACCTAACCATGGCCTGGCAGTGATTCCTACATTAAGGAACGTCTTGACTGACTTCATAGCAACTTGTTACCAAATCCAGTACTCAAAAATCAAGCATAATCAAACCACATACATATCCAGTTGCTTAAGACCACTAGCAGTTTAAATATATGAGAATCTAGTTGTGCTAAATATGGTCTGGCCATATAATTTATCTAAACTGAGACATTTTTTAAAGTGAAAGGGGGTCACTAAAATAATTTAACTAATCTACACTGGAACTGCCCCAACGAGCCAGTACAGTCACTGCTGACTTCCCAAGGGGACTCCCCTCATAATCACAACTCAATTTTGGAAAATTCTACTCTTTACATGGTAGTTTACACCCCAGCCTGCCCGTATCTCTGTCAAATCCTATACTATTCTCTCCCCACCACTGTGATCTTCTGGGTTCCTATTTTCTCTGTACTCATCACTCTAAATAATGGTGGGCCCAGGTGTTTTAGATAGGCAGTGATATATATTGGGGACACCCACCAGACTCCATTTGCTTCCTCAGGTTAAGTGGGTACATAAAGGAATTGAGTAATTTTATTCTTTGCAAAAAACATTCAAGATCATAGAAATGACCATATACTGATTTTAAAATTAGAAAAAACATAAGACTTTTTCAAACTGGCAAATGAAATAGGGGCAACAATCATCTAAGCTAGCTTTAATAAACTTGTAAACCCAACAGTTTTTGTACTATAGATGACAGTGTTAGTCTACAGGAACTAAGGCTATGTTTTGCTTTAAGAATTTGTTTTGTTCTCAGAAAGAATACCTGATCAGTGGACTCTCAAAAATGATAGAGAAGCAATCATGGAGTGAAGAAATACACCATCTTTCTATTTCTACAGATCTGTCACTTAAATTCAAGGAATGGATAAAGAAAATGTTCTCATGCAGCAATACATACAATACATAAAAATGAAAAATCCCTATCTAACAGCCTATGGCAACCACCAGCTTCTACATCACTTGGATGTAATTGGCCCCCAAAAGTTTTTTTCTTAACTTTAGAATATGTTAAAAGAGATCAATGAGCTATTCTTGGTATATATAAACACATGGGGTTGATTATAAGTTATCCTGTAAAATATACCCATTAACTTTTCTCAGACGGCATAGGTTTTTTTCGGCTTTTATGTAACAAACCTCTGCTATGACAATGTTTACTTTTGTAAACTTTGGGTCAAATTATGTCTCCTGAAAGGTAACTACATATAAAACACTTACATGCTAAGAAACTAGCTCTAAGAGTTGTTAATCCTGGTTTCAAACAGCAGCATAAAGGAATTCCTTTGAACTTTCTTTTGAAACCGAGTACCCTTTACTAATATCACATAGATGCATATTCCTTCAGTCATTTAGTAAGTATTTATTCAGTGTCTACTCTGTGCAAGGCACTCACTCAGGGCCTGACAGACCGCATTCAAGTACAAAGAATCATTAAAACCATTCCAAATCAAAGTGTAAGAACACTTTGAAAAATGATAGAGTGGTCAGAATGACGAGGTGAACAGAACATAACAACATACATTAAAAGGTGATCTTTTAAACTTCGGACACTCCTTGGGCCAGTACTCCTAAAGGAGGAAGTCAGCTGTGTTAAAGTCACATCCAGGGATGGCACTGCTAAGGCGGTATTCATTCCAAAGCCTTTCCTTCTGTCTCAAGACCTTCTACATTTTTGTTGAATGGAAACATGTTTCTGAGTTTAGCCATTATGCTACTAAACTCAAAATCAATCACTTGCATTTTCTTTTTAACTTCTGTTGTTTTGTCAGGTCACACAGAATTTTAGTGCCACAGAAGGGCAAAGATGTTTGGGCTGAGAGGATCTACACACCAGAATACGTAACTTCAAAGTAACGTATACCTGAGTTAGTCATTTTAAGGGTGCTGATGATGAGAGGAACAGTCAGAAAGAATGGTCCAGCAAAAAGAGAGCTGGCCCAGCTCTGGCTGCTCTAATTCTGGGGGTTGCTGGGACAGAACACCTCCACCGTGACTGCTGCTTTGTTCAAGACACACAACCTGCAGGGCTCTTGCCCACCTTTGGACAGAGAGTCTAAGAGTTGTGACCTTGGGGCAAAGTAAATTCTCAGAAGTCTTGATTTTGTGACCGATAACATAGTGACAGTTAACCACCTCAAAGGGCAGTTGGACTAAATGAGAAAAAGTGAAAGCCCTTAGTCAGGCACCTGGCACACAAGTCTCAAATAAAGACTGGTTGCCTTCATCTACCCTTTCTATCTTTTCTTCTTACCCCAAATTTCCAGATGCATTTTATATCCAGAGCAATTTGATATTTGTAAAATTAGCATATAATGATCTTAGCTTTACTTTATCACACATTCTTCTGATGCCCTGATACCCACTATTAACCTTTTTCTGACAATAATGCACGTTATAGAATATTTTCCATATTATAGCAGATTTACTGTACTAGTGCCACATCTGGCCTTCAGTTACTTTAGTAACTTGTTTTAATATATTACTTTAGAGGAGGACTGGCAGTAGTTAGCTCAGGGCTAATCTCCCTCAATAAATAAATAAATAAATAAATAAATAAATATCTAACTTCAGCTTTTGATGATAGAAAAAGGTAGCCAAAAACATTTCCCAACTGGGCAGATGTTTACTCTGCTTACAGAAGAAAATGGCTTTGTTAATTTCAGATGGCAAAAAATTCAGATTTGAGACTTCCATATATAGGTATACCTATCTGTGCAAATCAGCAAATTTGAATGTAGGAGGTAGAATATAGTATACAAGTATGAAAAGCAAAGAATGCCCATTCTAAAAGTGGATCCCTTTTCTTTCCTGAACGTCATACTTAGACATCACAATTTCCTATATAAAAGTCCCAAGCCCTAAAACAGCTATAATGACTTGCCTATTAATATAAAAATGTTCACAAAACTAATCAGCAAGAAAGAAAAGAAATCCTTCAACCTGAGGATGCAATCCCAAATTGGGGGATTCAATAACTGAAATGTTTATTTAGCACTAGAAAGTAAATTCCTAGTTGCCTGTGGGTGGCCATGTACAAGAGGATTTAGTTGACAAAGTTTGGTTTATAAAATAGACTACGTATTTCTTCTTAGGCAAAATCAGCAACAATCTGGAATAATTCAGATTTATTATGGGATAATTGTCAATGTTTATATCTGTGACAATAATGACGAAAACGACCCAGAGCCCATTCAGCTTTATCTGGCAGATGGAAGAAACAATCCTAGGGCAATAGAGTTTTCAAAAACAGTACAGCTGACAAAGGTAAGTTTAAAGCATCCTAATTACTTAGTGATAAGAACATAACTGAAAGTGTTCCATGGAGAACTCTGTCTCCTAAATCTCACCATTCTTCCTATCGTCTTTACCTTTCCTGGTGTTTCTCAATCAAACCATATCTACCTGTTGGTCCTTCAGATACAAGGTGCTTTTATATCCCAAATGTTCTCAATGCTTTCCATCCCCCAACCAAAGTTCTCATTTCAAAGAAGGTACTCTGAAAGTTTGGAGGAGGGAAAAAAAAGGGAAAGAAATCAAGCCACTCTCCCCCGATCAATATATAAAACTGCAGAAGAGTTTCTGTGTGTTGAAATTAACATGCTAGTGTAATGAGTAACATCTTAGTGATGGGGTATTGAATAAATTGAAAGTAAATTAGTAGAATCTACCAGGCAGAGAACTAAAAATAGGATTTACAGTTACCTCCTAAAATGTAATTTCAGTTACCAAAAGGCTGCTTTATCAGTTCCAACAGTTATGCTGGAATTTTTTAGTTTAATTCCAATTTTTATATTAAAAAAAATTTTTATTGCAAAAAAAAATTTAGCTCCTATCTCATGGCTCATCAACTTGTGGGCCAAGAGCAAGATAAACTCCTCTGATTTAGACAGAAAATGGATCCCATTAGATAAACAGACTTTCCTTGTTTTAATTCATTCATTGAAACACCTGCAAATGCTAGTAAAAATTCCCAATGTATGTTATGTACTAATTTGGGGAAACAACTGTGCTTTATATTTTTTCCATTCAAACTGGTTTATCAAAATGAACTGAAATTTTTTAAAATTATCCAATAGAAGGTACATAATTTAAAACATCCTAGAGAAATAATGTTACCAGTAATTTACAATTTAAAAAAACTCAGCCACAAAAAGTCAAAGCTAAAAACAAGATTTTTACTATGAATCAGTGCTTCTATTACCCTTCTGAAAGAAGTTATATTTTAATGTGATGTAAAGGCAACATTGAAAGTTTTTCTTTAAATTAACCACCTAATTTGTCCCTAAAATTACAAAGAATCAAAGTCTTTTACAGGTCAAGTGCAGTAAACTAAAATGTTCTTTCAGCACAAAGCAGCACTAGAAAAAGTAACAATTATAGATGGGAGTTGCCTAGTTTTGCAGGGACTGCTCCATCAATAACAGACAGACATCAGACGGTACCCATCCAGAGCACAGACACAACTACAGATTAGATGTGAAGAATGCGTCACACGCTTGGCTGATAAATGTCCTTTGTCTTTGTATCTTTCTACTTTGAATGAAGTGGATTTTTTAAAGTTTAAATCAGGTCACATAAGTTGGCTGCTTAAATAACATGATGAGGTATGAAAGCTCTGAATATCCCTATCATTCAGCAGGATTTACCAGAGATGTATAATAGCTCGTCAGGGGAACTTCCAAATAGTTACACTTTGGGGTTATAATAAATTCTAGAAGAGGACAAGATTAAAGAGGTTAAAAGGGTATTCTCTGAAACAGAAGTGAGCAACTTTTCCTTCAGAATTCATTTTGAACAGCACATCAACAAAAAATCTTCTCTGATACTGTGTCCCAACATTGAGTCAAGATGGCCAACTAGCACCAAGAAGTCGTATTGAACTCAGTTGCAGTTCTCTTGGCAATTAAGCTTATTCTTTCATCCCAGTCCAAGCACAAACGTGGATCACTGAAGACAGTTCTGGAAGCGCCATTTGCAGGTACAGATTGCAGTCATCATTGAATGAGGCAGAAGGTAGAAACTGCTTTTATTTATGGGAGGGAGTTGACTGGGCAGTACTAATAGGAGATGAAATTAAATGATTAGGGAACAATGAGGTTATAAGGAAAGATCACTGCCCTTATTTGGGTTAAACAAGTCATGTTGAAAAGATGGTTATTTGTTTAAGGATGCTACATTAAAGGGATCATATATGCAGCATGACTACATTAGAATCAAGCTGCACTGGACGAAGAAAATAATTCCCTAAGTAACCTTTAAAAGTACGTGTGATCTGCCAGTCAGGGGAAAAGCACCTAGGGTGAACTTTCAATTTAATGAGGACCTTGATCAGGACCACAAAGCCTGAAACATTGTTTTAATGCACAAACACAGCCTCTAGTCACACTGGTTGAGTTTGTGAAAATTGGAGGAGTTTTTTTTTGCTGTTTTTCACTTTTTTATTGAATTAAAAGATATGGTTTCAATTACTAAGGATTCTAAATCTTCATACCAGCATTAGAGTTGAACCACTTCCAAATCCTAAGACACGTAAGACCAAAGAGAAGCAGTAGCCATACAAATTAATATGTGCCCCTCTCCTTTCTGCTCTAAGAGAATCTTCAAACCAGTATCACATTTAAGAGTCAGTGTTAATTCTTCAGCATTCCTGACAACTAGAAAGCACATTCATTGAAGGCTGAAGGTGAGGGAGCAGATGGTTTAACTTTAGTATCTGTGAAGAATGGCGCCAATAAAGGAGAGAGAACCTCCAATCTCAGTAAGGATTAATGCAAATTTGGCTAGAAAAAGCCACCAGGTAATCCAAGGGTTCACTGTGGAAGAACTCATGAAAAGTACTCTGAAGTATACACAACAAGTCTAAACATCTCCCTTGTTGCAAGAGTTGTGTGAAATTCAAGATAAAGGTTTAGTCTCATCTTTTAATGTCAGTGTTTTTCCCCACTTTAAAGGGAATAAGGAGGAGTCCTCTTTTTTCCCCCACAAAAAAAGGGAGCCACATTAATATGTGTATATTCCCATGACTCTTATAATATATAAGTGCAGATCTCCAAAAGCCTAGGGATTTTCCATAAGAGAGTGGGCCGTTCTGGTTACCCTTTTATTAGAAGGGTATTCCACCACAGAGAGCCAGAGGTTTTCCAGAGGTGTATAAGAGAGCAGGTGCGCAAGGCAAGCAAATGAGCGCAAACAGTATTATGGAAAACATTTGAGAAGTTAGCTCCATGAGGACTGTGGGCTCCACAAGAGGACTTGACTGGGTAGCCTTGTCTGACACAGGAACATGAAAGCAGAGTATTGCTTCAAAGCTGGAAACCTTCCATAGGAGCCTCACACTGCTGGAAGATGTACTGCTGCTGGCTAAGGTCAACCTGGGGTGCGATGCTGCTGTCCTCATCCTCGGTCCCGAAGTAATGCTCAATAAGATCAAAGGCCTTCTGGTAGATCTCCTGGTTTTCATGACTCTGTAAGAATTCAATTTTATCCAGACCTAGAATGAAGAATAAAGGAAAATCTGTTATATATCTGTTGGGAGTTCCAGTGAAACTATATTTTGCCATGTCTCTTTCCTTGATGTAAAGGAAGACTGCTCTTCTCTAACTTATATCTTCTAAGTATTTTGTAATAGCAAAGAAAGTACTGCTGGGATTACTTCTGAATATTAGCATTACAAACTGACACCTTAAACACATAGGCAAGCAACAACCAGTCCCCAAAAGCAGCAATTTCTGTTAACAGTCACCACATCATCCAGTGCCTAAGGTCAGTAGCTCCCATTGGACTGTATCTATGGCCTAATTAATTCTTGGCTCTGGTTCTATCTACCTAGGTTCTGAGCTATCCAATATCATTTCAACAAATGTGTAATATCCTTAAATCAGCCAGAATCAATTTCTATTGTTTAAGAAGTTTGACTAGAACAATTTAGCCAACACATCCCTTTTATTAAGTTTAAGCCCATCTGAGCTAGGCTTTCTTTTACTTGCAGCCATACGCAGTCTAACTGATACAGCAATAGCAAAAATAAGTGTTAACATTGCTCAAAAGAGAAAAAACCACATATTCCTCTATATATCCATATTAAAATATACATACATCAAATAGTTAACAGTTATCTCTGTGGAGAAAGATCTCTGGGTAGAGGAACATTTTTCTTTTTTATACATTTCAAAATTTCTTACTAAGCAGGTATAGCTTTTGTCATCAGGTTTTCTCATCAGGTTTTAAAAAAATGTTAAAAACATTTTTGAAAACAATTCTGCATTATCTGATAAATTTGAAGATGAACATATACTTTGATACCTGATTCCAATCTTAGGAATAAACAAACCCCAGAGCAGTAGTTTTCACCCTTGGCTATGCATTAAAATCACTTAAGGACCTTAAACAGTAAAAGTACACTGATAAACCAATGATTAAAATTAAAGTTAAGACTGAGATTGGAAGAATGAGGAAACCAAAAGGCAGACAGTGACTCCTCAAGATGAAACTCTTAAAAACCTTTAGAGTCAGGAACATAGGAATTGGGGGATGCAATTAAAAATAAAAATTCTGACTCTTGCAAGGGAAAAGCAGTAGAGTCAAACATCGTCTAAAGTAGACATGGATGTTCTTGAGGCTCAGGTGGACTAGTAAGAATACAAGACTATCCACAAGGGCAAGCAGAGTCAGAGGACTGGGAAGATTCTAAGAGCCCAGTGTAAAAATGGCTAAATTGAAGGGTACTCACTTCCCTTCACACCTACAATGCATAATCTTTTCCAATTCTGCATACTAAACATTATTATTCATAAGAGAACAAGTTTTTCATATGAGTTTGCTAATGACAGATGTGGACAGGCCAGAAAAGCAAGGAGAAAAAGAAAAAAATAATTTCAGGACAGCTATTAAATACTCTATCTTACCATAAGCTTCTTCAATCAAAGCACAGTAAGGGTTAATGCCAGTGCCGTTCCTTTTGGCTTCTTGTTCTCCAAGCCTCAGGATATTTTCCAAGCCATTTAGGGCAACCTGTACAATCTTAGAGTCCATGACTGTGAGGAGATCACAGAGTGGCTTGATACAGCCTAGTTCTACGAGGTACCTAAATTAATACAAAGAACAATTTAGTCAAACAAAGCTTTTGAGTTCATAAAACTCATGAAATTGGTGGAAGGGTCTGTGGAGATAAAAATAGGCACTCATCCAACCATACAAGCTGTACCTTACTACAAAAAAAAAAATTTAAAAAGGCTACAAATAAATTAAACAAAACCAGTCCTCTGGAACCACCTTCATTCTGACCTCCCTCCATAATCAGTGGACTCCAAGAAACTGGAATACTTTCTTACTTTAATATGAGCAACTCATTGAAACGTTATACTTTTGATTGGTTAATTTCATCTTTGTTTCTATAGATAACCAAACCTCAGAAACAGGCCACACGTGGTGCTAAAGCCAGCACAGGCCCAAAAGATCAATCCTATTTTGTACAGAGAACTCTTAAAACTCAAGGTAAGAAAACAAACAACTCAATTTAAAAATGGACAAAAGATCTGAACATATACCTTACCAAAGACACAGCACGTGAAAAGATGCTCAACATCATAACATTATGTCATTAGGGGACTGCAAATTAAAACAACAATGATGCCACTACATACCTATTAAAATGGCTAAAATCCAAAACACTGACAATACCAAATGCTGGCAAGGATGTGCAGCAAAAGGAACCCTCATCTTTTGCAGGCAGGAATGCAAAATAGGACAACCACTTTGAAAAACAACCTGACGATTTTTTAAAAAGCTTTCTATATGATCCAGCAATCACACTGGTAGACATTTACCCAATTTAGATGAAAACTTATGTCCACACAAAAACTTGTACATGAATACTTACAGCAGCTTTATTCATAACTGCCAAAATCTGGAAGCAACGAAGATGTTCCTCAACAGAAGAATGGATAAATAAACTATAGTACAGGCTAAATAGGTCAAGATTGTGGCACAGGCAGATCCTGAACTTATCTCCTCCCTGGACACAACAAATATACAGCTAAATATGGAACAAATCCCTCTGAAAGGAACCTGAGAACTAGCTGAAGAACTGACCCCTAATCAAGGATACAGGGTTACATCCAGATGGGCAGGAGAGGCAGAGACAGGCTCTTGCTAAAAACTCCACCACTGGTGCAGCGACCCACAATGGGAAGGGATCCCAATCAATCAATCAGCCAGTAAACAAACAAACAAAGCATCTCCCTGAGGCACAAAGGATTTGTACCGCCACACCAAGTACCCCAACCCTTGAATCCTGCACCAAAAAGAGGAGCCCCCAAAACATCTGGCTTTGAAAATCAACAGGGCTTACATTCAAGAGAAAACTGGGCAATAGGGAACAAAAATTCTGCTCTTAAAGGGCTTGTGCACAGAACCACTCACCCCAGGACCCAGCACAAAAAGCAGCTATTTGAAAAGAGCCTAGACCACATGTGAAGGAGATTCACTTGCTAATCTTAAAGCACCTGCCAGAAGGGCAGAAATCTGCTGGGACTCTCCCCGAGGAAGGAACGCTAGAGGAGGCCATTTTTACAGGCTTCCACTACCTTACTGGTGTTGGCACTGGCAGACATCATTTTTGCACTCTCACTCAAACCTGCTACAGATGTTCACCAATCTCGGGAAAAGAATGGATGAATACAGTGACATCTTGAATACAGAGAAAGAAAATATAAGAAATTTTCAAACAGAAGTTATAGAGCTGAAGAATATAATAACCGAAATGAAAAATACACTAGAGGGGTTCAATAGCAGACTGATTGAAGCTTACAAGTGAGTCAGCGAGCTGGAAGACAAAGCAACAAAACTCACCCAGACAAAACAGGAAAAAGAAAAAGGAATTTAAAAAATAATAATAACTTGAGGGACCTTTGGGACAACATCAAGCAGAATAACATTCACATTATAGGAGTCCCAGAAGAAGAGAGAGAGAAAAAGGGCCACTCAGAAATAATGGCTGAAGGGGCTGGCCCTGTTGCCGAGTGGTTAAGTTCGCGCACTCTGCTGCAGGCAGCCCAGTGTTTCGTTGGTTCGAATCCTGGGCGCGGACATGGCAGTGCTCATCAAACCATACTGAGGCAGCGTCCCACATGCCACAACTAGAAGGACCCACAACGAAGAATATACAACTATGTACCGGGGGGCTTTGGGGTGAAAAAGGAAAAAATAAAATCTTTAAAAAAAAAAAAAAGAAATAATGGCTGAAAACCTCCCTAATCCAGGGAAGGAAACAGAGATATAAGTCCAGGAAGGCCAGAGAGTTCCAAGTAAGATAAACCTAAAGAGATCTACACCAAGACACATTATAATTAAAATGGTAAAAATTCAAGAGAAACAGAGAATCTTGGGGCTGGCCCCATGGCGTAGTGGTTAAGTCTGGCACGCTCCACTTCAGTGGTTTGGGTTCACAGGTTTGGATCCCAGGTGCAGACCTATACCACTTATCGAGCCATGCTGTGTCAGCGACTCACATACAAAACAGCAGAAGACTGGCACAGATGTTAGCTCAGAGCTGATCTTCCTCAAGCAAAAACAGAAGATTAGCAATAGGTATCAACTCAGAGCAAATCGTCTTCACAAAAGAGAAAAAAAAAAAAAGAAAAAGATAAAGAGAACCTTAAAAACAGCAAGAGAAAAACAACTTATTACTTACAAGCGAAATTCCATAGGCTAGCAGCAGACTTTTCAGCAGAAACTTTGAAAGCCAGAAGAGAGTGACTTATTCAAACTGCTAAAAGGAAAAAACTTCCAACCAAGAATTCTCTACCCAGCGAGGTTATCATTCAGAATTGAAGAGAGATTAGGAGTTTTCCAGATTAGTTTTTCCCAGCAAAAGCTAAAGGAGTTCATCACTACAAAACTGGCGTTACAAAAAATGTTAAAGGAATTTCTCTAAACTGAAAAGAAATGGCACTAATTAACACCAAGAAAATATACGGAAGTAAAAATCTCAGTGGAAAAGGTAAATATGCAGTAAAGGTAGTGGATCAATCACTTATAAAGCAAGTATGAAGGTTAAAAGATAGAAATAGTAAAATTAAAACTACAATAATTAGTTTAGGGATACATAAAACAAAAAGAAGTAAAATATGATATCAAAACTGTAACACGGGCCAGCACCAGCAGTCTAGTGGTTAAGTTTGGCATGTTCCATTTCAGTGGCCCAGGTTTATTTCCTGGGCACAGACCTACACCACTCATCTTTCAGTGGCCATGCTGTGGTGGCAGCCTTCATACAAAAAGAGGAAGATTAGCAGCAGATGTTAGCTCAGGGAAATCTTCCTCAGCAAAAAAAAAGAAAAAAAGAAAAAAAAATTTAAAAATTAAAAAAAATAAAATATGGGGGAGGGGAGAAAAATGTACAGATTTGGAATTTGTTCAAATCTAAGTTTCTATCAACTTAAAACGGATTGGTATATACATAGGAAGTCATATATGAACCTCACAGTAACCAAAAACCAAAAACTTACAGTAAATACACAAAAGAAAATGAAAAAGGAATCTAAACATAACACTAAAGAAAGCCATCAAACCACAAGGGAAGAGACAAAGACAAGAAAGGAACAGAGAGGAACTACAACAACCAGAGAACAATAAACAAAATGGCAACAATCCCATACCTATCAATAATTACCTTAAGTGTAAATGGACTAAACTCTCCATTCAAAAGACACAGAATGGCTGAATGGATAAAAAAGAAAGCCCATCTATATGCTGCCTACAAAAGACTCATTTCAGAAGTAAGGACACATACAGACTGAAAGTGAAGGGATGTAGAAAGATATTCTATGCTAACGAAAATGAAAAGAAAGCTAGTGCAGCTATACTCATAATAGACAAAATAGAGTTTACCACAAAGAAGGGTATTACATAATGATAAAGGGGTCAATACAGCAAGAAGACATAACATTTATAAATATATGTGCACTCAACATAGAAGCACCAAGATATATAAAGGAAATATTAATGGACCTAAAAGGAGAAATTGACATCAGTACGTTAATAGGAGGGGACCTTTAAAACCCCACTTACATCAATGGACAGATCATCCAGAGAGAAAATTAATAAAGAAACACTGGCCTTAAAGCACATTAGACCAGATGGACTTAACAGATATATACAGAACATTCTATCCCAAAGCTAGAGAATACACATTCTTCTCAAATGCACATGGAACATTCTCCAGGAGAGATCACGTTAGGCCACAAAATAAGCCTCAGTAAATTCAAAGAAGACTGAAATCCTATCAAGCATCTTATCCAACCACAATGCTATGAAACCACAAAAATGTGAAGATTAAACAAGATGCTACTGAACAACCAATAGGTCACAGAAGAAATCAAAAAATACCAAGAGACAAACAAAAACAGAAATACAACATACTAAAATCTTTGGGATGCAGCAAAAGCAGTTCCTAAGAGACAAGTTCACAGCAATACAGGCCTACTTCAAGAAACAAGAAAAATCTCAAATAAACAATCTAGCTTTACACCTCAAGGAGCTAGAAAAAGAAGAACAAATGAAGCTCAAAGTCAGCAGAAGGAAGGAAATAATAAAGATCAGAGTTGAAATAAACAAAATAGGGACTAAAAAGACATAGAAAAGATCAAAATGACAAGAAATAACAAGCGGTGGTGAGGATGTGGAGAAAAAGGAACTCTCAGACACCACTGATGGGAATGTAAATTGGTGCGGCCACTATGGAAAATAGTATGAAGATTCCTGGAAAAACTAAGAATAGAACTACCATATGATCTAGCTATTCTGCTTTTGGATATTTAACTGAAGAACACAAAACACTAATTCAAAAAGACAGATGCACCCCTAAGTTCACTGCAGCATTATTTACAGTAGCCAAGAAGTGGAAACAACCTAAGTGTCCATCAATGGATGAATACATAAAGAAGATGTGGGGTTTGTGTGTGTGCATGTATATATACACAATGGAATACTACTTAGCCATAAAAAGGAATGAAATTTTGCCATTTGAGACAACATGGATGGACCTTGAGAGTACTGTGAAAGTGAAATAAGTCAAAGACAATTACTGCATGATTTCACTTATGTGGAATCTAAAAACACAAAACAAACAAAACAAAAATAAAACTAACTCATAAATACAGAGAACAGATTGTTAATTAAATAGGTGACTTACACATCTGCACTTAAACTTCACTGGCCTATACAGGCGAGACTATTGAATACTAACTGGTATTTCAGTGACTTGTTGAGAATCTCAAAATTGTCCTCAAACTTGATCCTGGTCCGCTCTTGATGTGATCTTTTCTCCCCACTAGAAATCTTGGCTCAGTGACCTCTGATCCTTATATTGCTTTTAAAAAATTCATTTAGTTTTCTAATACTGCCTAGTTGCAGAATCTTGTATTATGAAAAGCAGCGTACTGAAAACTTGATTGAGGATTAAAAACAAATTTTAAGGTGACTAGAAAGCTTCTAGAACTTTTATATAATTGGTTAAATGAATAAACACAAACTATACAATTATTGACTAAAACTGTCTTATTAAAAAACTCTACCCAAAAATGCGCTAATAAGTAAATCTGGAGTTTTGAAGATGTGAGTATTTTGGCACAATTCATTTAATGAGTTCTGCATTCCCAATTCTAGCCCTTTAAACTATTTTAATATAGATTACTATAACTGACAAGCAAACGACCACTTTCTTTCCAAGAACATACAGCATTAAAAGCTCTGCTTTCAGGTCAATGGTGCCATGAGTGAGACAGCGGATACTATTATTCCTTAAATACCTTACAAGATCAGAGGAATCGAGGGTGATATTTTCTCATACAACCACTCATCTTTGGAATGGTATTTCACTATTGATGCAAGTTTCTCCAAAGACAACAATTAGTACCTAAAAGCAAAACAAATGACTAGGGGACCTGAGCTATGCAAGAGCTAGGAAGCTATAATAGTCTGAGACAAGCATTACAATGAAGGAATAGTTCCCTGGGAGAAGTTTGAAGATGTGAAAAGATGACTGGAAAACAAGCATGACGGTATTGTTTAAAGTCTAGGAGTGGCTCCTATGGGTGGTATATTTCGAACATCTGGATACAATGATCACTGGTCATCAATGCTAGCTGACTCTTATGGCAGAAAATGCCTCTATTAAGAAAATTTTCTGGGTAAGGAAATTTATTCCACAAGAATACATTATCTGGAACAGTGAATTATATTTCTGAAATTATATTAATGTCTCAAACCTGAAACAGCTGATTTGAGCTGAGAGAGCTGATATGATTGGTAATTTTACATTCAAGAGTTCCTTTAAGAAGGAGAAATTTGGGGCCGGCCCCATGGCCGAGTGGTTAAGTTCACACGCTCTGCTGCGGTGGCCCAGGGTTTTGCCGGTTTGGATCCCGGGCACAGACATGGCACTGCTTATCGGGCCATGCTGAGGCAGCAACCCACATGCCACAATTAGAAGGACCCAGAACTAAAAAACAATATACAACTAAGTACCAGGGGGCTTTGGGAAGAAAAAGGAAAAATAAAATCTTTAGGAAAAATAAAAAGGACAAATTTGAGGAAGAAATCCAGATACTCTAAAACAGAGGAAAGTGACTTTTGAGAATGAAGTGACAGTCAGATTTTCTTTAAATGAGCAACAAAATCACTGTGTCTAAAACCATCTCCCTCAAACAGGAGGTTGCTTCCTCTGTGTCCTAATTTTTATCAACAGCACCACCATTTTCCCCAGTCATCTTTGACTCTTCCCTTTCCTTTACTACCTACAGCCTGCCACCAAACCCTACAAATCCTTCTTTCCAATATCCAGACCTATACCTCATGCTACAACAATTATCTTAATCCTGGCCATCACTATACTAAATTACCACAATAGCATCTTAATTGTTCTCTTTCCTCTCCTCAAAACACTATCTTCTTCATATCACTCACTCTCAAGGTTAAAGATACTCCAGGTCTTCCCAATATCCAAGACTAAGACCTTTATCCCAGTTTTCAAACTCCATCAATTACTTAATTCTTCATCCTTGCAAAGGAAGAACCTATAGCAAGATTGATTTGCCTGTTCCAATAACATTACTGTGTACATTCCCTCACACTCCTCCTGATGCTATTCTCTCTCCTCCACAATTGCCAAATCTCTATCCAAATGGCAAGTTTCATCTCTTTCATGAAACCTTCTCTAATTCCAGGCAACATTCTTGATCTCACATTCTTAAGAACCAGTGCATGTATGAGCATTTGTTTATATTTAACCTAAAATTATGAGTATTTCCTAAGTAATTCTAACTTGTTCTTGCATCTAAATCTTGTCTCCTCAACAAGAATATGCAGAAGCCACAGAGATGTCTTTTATCAGTGATAAAGTCAGTTTATTTTCTGTTATTTGGACTGCAATATCTTTGTAATTATCTTTCAAGATAATTTTTCATCTGGTTAAAAAGAAACTGCTAAGGGGTTGAAAATTAACTTCATTATTATAAATAGCTACGCTGAATTTTAAAAGGAGATAGTAGTCATTCTACTCTTCTATAGCAGAGCAAAATACCCCTAAATACTTTCTGATGAAAGATACCACAGTATTTTAGAAATGTTTATAAAATATGTATGTGTACAGCTTTTAAATTAAGATAATATACTTGGTATACAATGTAGAGCCAAGTAATAATTATAAATCTGAGTTTGAAAATAAAACTTGACTATTAACTGTTCAAATAACTTCTATATTACTGCCATCTGGTGGCTGGATAATTAGAATCACAGTACCCGAGAACCAGAATCTTGGAGGTTGAAAATGACCTAATCTATGCTTCTAAAGATCACTTGAAGTCTTCCTTGAATAACCTGCCCTTGAATAACCAGTAGCAAAATGGCTACTGTATATGTTAATCTATTTAAATTGTATTATTTCAGGTACATATTTCTTATCCTCTGTACCTGATCAATTTCTGAAATGTTCGGACGGACTATTTCACCTTTTCATTTTTAAATTCCCAACAGAGCACTAAAAATTAGCATCGGTTGAGCGCCTACATTTAACCTGCAAAGCAACAATATGAGAAGTAGCTATGTTTTCCAGATATTACATATGAAGAAGAGGTTAACGTTTTAACACTCATTCGTAACTACCTTCTCATCTGAATTCCCCATAAAAAAGTTATGGCAGAGTCTAGGTTTCCTTTTTCTCTTCAATAGCACTTTTTTCTATCTGAAATACTGGATGTCCATAATTTAGCATTTAATTATATGATGTTCCTTTGAGGAATTGATTCCTATCCACATTTATGCCTTTTCTAGCCACTAAGATTATAAGCTGCTATCCAAGGGTCCATTTAAGTCTCAAGCTAATACAGATCTCTCCCTTTACCGAATATCAAGTACTTTAGCAGACCCTTGTCTCTACCGAACTTGGCACTTTATTCCAAGCTATACCTCTCTTTAAAGTCTGGCCCAATTCTACCATTAAAACATCTAAACTAGAACTAGCAAGGGTTAGCTATTAAATTTGGACTCTAAGGATTCTACAAATAACCTTCTAGACTATCCAAGATGTTCTGACCAGGCAGCTCCAGAGTAGGCTGAAGTCACTTCTATAAATATTTCTATTGCCTCAAAACTCAATTCTGCCTTACTACATCCCAGAATTATTTTCAGTAAGAAGGAATGGGAGAGGTATGAGGAATTAAATATATATTTGAGTCTAATTATGAAACTGAGTAGAATCTTCCAAGAGGCTAGAATTGAGCATTCTTAATTGTAGACGGAGTAATTTTCCCTTTAATTTATAAGATACTACACCTGGCTAGTACTTACTTAATCTGTTCAGCTGATCCTCCAGAAGTTGCATTTGTGATGGCCCAAGCTGCTTCCTTCCTTGTCCGAAACTCAGCAGTTTGTAATATACTAATGAGGGCTGGAAAAATGTTGGCATCTATCACAGTCTGAAATTAAAGGAAAAATTACATGGGAAGGGAAATTACAAGACTTGTAAAAATGTTCATGATACTAATTCTAACTTTTCAGCTAGCTTCACCCCTGCCCCTATTAAAAATAAACCGAAAGGTTAAAAATAGAAATACCTTATGACCCAGCCATCCCACTACTGGGTATCTATCCTAAGAACCTGAAATCAGCAATTCCAAAAGTCCCATGCACCCCTATGTTCATCACAGCATTATTCACAATAGCCAAGACATGGAACCAACCTAAGTGCCCAGCAACTGATGATTGGATAAAGAAGATATGGTGTATATATACAATGGAATACTACTCAGCCATAAAAAAGGACCAAGTCATCCCATTCACAACAACATGGATGGACCTTGAGGGTATTGAGTGAAATAAGCCAGACAGAGAAAGACCAACTCTGTATGACTCCACTCATAGGTGGTAGTTAACATATAGACAAAGAGAACTGATCGGTGGTTACTAGGGGAAAGGAGGGGTGGGAGGAGGGCACAAAGGGTGAAGTGGTGTACCTACAACATGAGTAATAATAATGTACAACCGTAATTTCACAAGGTTGTTAATTATCATAATCTTAATTAAAAAAAAAAAAAAAAACCAAAAGGAGGTAAGTCTTCATTATCCCTAACTTTCTGGCTATACTTGGTATCACTGATAACACCTTCCCTGGAGTCTGTGACTTTATAATCTCCTAGTTTTCTCCCTGAGTTGTTTGCTCTTCTATTGTCTTCTCTGGCTCCACCCATAATAACAAATTGTAAAAGTTCAATTCTCTGTTCCTCTGCTGTTTCTTCTCTCATAGCATCCACTCTGACATGAGTGTAGTTAACTCTGCAGTCCTCATTTCTCACTGGAGCCTTAGCCCAAGGTAGCCCACAGCTTACTTTAGATCTCTACTCACCTCCAACATATCACCTGCCCTCTCTACCAGGTCTCCTTTTCAAGTCCCTCTAGTTCACAAAGGCTCTTTTTGTATTTATTTATTTATTCTAAATTCAGTCACCAAGTCTCCTTTACATTCTCAATTTAAAACACCCTGAGTCCATCTCTTCTTTTCCTTTAGCACTATCGCCATCCTATTCTAAGCCACTACCTACCACCCAGATTACCAGCAGAGCCATTAGTTGGACAGAGTACTTTTACTCACTCCTTCTCATACACTAACTAAAGTGGTCTTCCTCAAATTACTTTCTTCACGTTTCTCCTTAGCTCAAAAACCTAAAAAGGGTTCATGTCAAGAAAATGAGAGGTTCTACGTGATAGCCTGGTGGTAGTGGGCAATCGACTGCAGCTGAAGTCACCTCGTATGCATGCTGTAAACTGCAATAGCTATCAATCTCAGTCCCTGACAGCACTCTCGGGATGACTAACCATGGCTTCCTGGTCAAAAACTTTTCTATTGCACCAATGAAGGAAGTCAGCAAAGTTTAGCAGAAAGACACTTCATCTTGGTCCTGTCATTTAACAGAGATGCCCTTGAGCAAATTATCTTATTTCTTTGAGCCTCAATTTCATCTTTAAAGGAGAATGTTGGTTTAGACGACCTCTACGATTCCATCAGCTCAAAGCCTCATAAGCCTGTGTTATATCTTCTCCAATCTGTTGTCCCAGCCTTTCTCAAGGCCTATGTGGAACCATGTGGCTCAATGCTAGTCATCCACCTTGAGTTACTCTCCTACTGAAAGGCAGATAACCAGTTGTAGAAAAATGCGTCCCCAAAAGGTTCATGAAAAATTGAAGCAATCCAATACTTGGGTCCACTAGAAAATAAATATTTTGCTTGGTAAGAGTAAAACTAATCTGTTTAGCATAAAGTCCATCAAAACATTTCAAAAATATTAAGACGCTACTTTTCAGATCTTGGCAAATGATCAAATATTAAAGGTGAAGCGAAAAACCAAGGCCTAAGTATAAGTTTCAAAAGACTTAACTTCTATAAAGTAGGATAAAAAAAAAAAGCGAGAAGTAGACTAAAAAAGACAACATTGGAAGTTACTGGTCTCTAAGGCAATAATGAAAAATATATATATTTTAAAGGCTGACTGAAAAAACCTTACTTATCAATAAAAATATAGGAAAAAAGACAGGTGCTATGAGATTACCTGGATCTGTGCCCTATTTCCAGCTGTGATATTAGATATTGTCCAACATGCTTCCTTTTTGATAGATTCCTTTGGACTACTCAGCAAATGCAATAAACTCTGCAGAGCTGAGCAATTCAAAATTACCTAAAAAGGAAAAGTTTGAAAATTTTACTTATTGTACTGATCCAAATCTTTAACTAAAAGACTTTATTTTAGGCAAAAATAAAGGCCAAGAAATAACTTAATGTCGCCCCTTGAAATTTTAGAAGTAACTGTATATATGTAAGAAAGTATTCACTACTAAAAATTAGTTTCTAAGATTATCAAAGCAGTTTCATTGTAGACATTCATAACTGTTAAAACTGTACTTAATAAGAAACACTAACGTATTAGTTACTCATCTTCCTATCCTTACAGCATATTAAAATGTCTTTTGATGGGTAAATATACCAAGTGGTCAGAAATTCAGAAGTGGTCTCAGATTTTTAAGTCCTCTGATAACTCTCTACCTGATAGTCAGTGAACCAATACATACTTAATGAAGTACAACAGGTGCTTTATAGGATACAGTGATAAGAAGGATATGCCCCTAGCTACCAAACAACTTACAAAGATGAGGGAGATCATACAAATACACATGAAGAAGGTGATCTACTCTAAGAGAAACTAAACCATAAAGCTATAATGATTAAAATAGTATGTGGCAGGCTCAAGATTCAGTCACTGAACAATAGAATAGGCATCTAGCCCAGAAGCAAATGCAGGTATTTATGAAGAATTTACTTGGGATGGAGTAGTCAGACTTCACAGAGGGTAGCAGAATGCCTTGAAACACAGGATTTCATAAGAAAAGAAAAAGGAGGATACTGCAGAGAGAGAGGCTCAAAATGAGAAAACAATGAGACAGGCTACCACAAAGTAGCAAACGAAGACAAGAAGAGACCAGCGAGGCTATTAAGGAAGGGTTCTGTACCCAAAAAATTAACAGTAAACTAGAAAGAAGAATGAGACTAAAATCTTGAAGTACAAATTCCATAGAGTCTTTGGAGGTTCTATCTCCTAGGCATTAAAGAAGCTCACTGTTTCTAAGTGAAAAATAAATAATGTGAACAAGGGTGCTTTAGGGAAGATTAAGGTGTTATTGGGGAGAATAAACTGAGAGGGGTAAACACTTGGGAGAGTAGGAAGATAAATTAGGTCTGTACAGCAGCAACTCTTGTGTGTGAGAAAACAGGGACCAAAATAAGAAAATTAGACACGAATCTGGTAACAACAGGAATCAAGAAGACCCGGTGACTTGCTATAGAGACACCAGATATGATAGCAAAGTTTCAAGTGTGGGTGAATAGTGGTATCATTAATTGCAATGGGAAAAATCAAGACTTACAACTTGCTTCGTGGGGGAAGAAGATAAACTGAGAGAGAGAGAAATGTGAGTTACACAAGCAGAAGTATCTAACAAGCTAGTGGAGACATGGGAGAGAAGTCAGAATTAGATATACATATTCAGAACTTACTCCATTCAATAAATATTTTTTGAGTCCCTATACACTGTGCCAGGAACTATGAGACTACAGAGGCACAAAAATGAAGAAGATTGGCACAGTTCCCCCTCTAGAAGTTTACAATCTAGTGATTAAGACAGTTACAATACAGTGTGATAAGTGCTAAGACAGATGAAACAAAAGAAGGAACATCTAACATAAGAGTCTGGGAGCAAATAAGGCTTCTCAGAGAAAATAATGTTAATATCAAGACCTAAAGAATGAGAAGACAGTGGAAGAGTGTGAGGTAGTGGTCAGAGCAGAGGTGGGGGTAGGGGCATACGTTCCATGCATGTGTCAAAGCTCAGAGTTTAGTGTGGTCATAGCTAATTCAAGGAATAAGCCTGGCAAGAGCAGAGAGTATGGTATGGAAAGGGGGAGATAGCAACTTTCTTTGAATAGCAAATACACTGATACAGTTTAAAAATTCAGAAAGTATAAAGGACTATACAGTTAAAAGCCTCCTTTCCACTCCTGTACCCCAGCCACCCAGTTCTCCAGAGACAAACAATGATATTAGTTTCCTGTGTATCCTTCCAGAGAAGTTTTATGCAAATATAATCAAACATACATATTGTTTTCTTTTCCTCTCCTTCCCACTCTCCTTTTTACACACTATTCTGCCCCTTGTTTTTCCTTTAAAAAAATATAACCTAGAAATCTTTCCATATGAGTGCCTAAGAGCTTCTTCATTCTGTTGCATAGCATTCCATTATATAGATGCCGAACTTTTCTTAAACACCATCCAGGGACAAGAGAGGGCCATAAAAAGATTATAAGTAGGACAATGACATACTCAAATTTACATCTTACAAGGATCCTTTTGGTGATATGGCAATGGTACAGGAAATGTCTCAACTAAGCGCTACAAGAGATGAGATGGAATAGCAGGACTTAGTGACTGATGAGAGAGGTGGAGGAGAGAAGACACAAACTGATGTCCAGGTTTTTGGCTTGGGCAACTGTTGGTGCCATTCACTGAGATAGGAAACATAAATAAGCAGAGGCCTAATATACAAAGGAAAACAATGAGTTCCCTTGTGGACAGAATAAATTTAAATATTAGAGTTGGAAGACATCTCAGAAAACAAACCCAATCTCCTTAATTTTAGAAATTAAGAAAGTGAAGACATTAAGTGTCTTGCTGAAAAGTCACAGCTGGTTAAGAAAGAGCTAAGGCTAAAACCTAATTCTAAATCCAGGTGCACAAAGGTGAAAGCTGAAGTTATAAATAAGATCAATGAATGAGGCTAAACAATTATCTCCTGGAGGATGCCCACAAACAGGAAAAACAGGAAAGGAGCTTGCTAAGTAGAAATATATGGTCACTGAGGCAGGAGACCCAAAATATGTCAATACCACAGAAGCCTAAGAAAAATTTAAAGACAACACCAATGCATCTGAGAGATCAAGAAGAAAAATGACTAGAACAATCCACTGTGAGTGATATATCTTGATATAGAAGTTGAATGGAGTAGGGAGTGACATTAGGAACTAGGAGGGAAGAATCCTCACACAGGCGACTTACCATGTACAAAAAGGAGGAAGCTATTAGAGAAGATGAGATGAAGATGACAGAGATAGAGAAAGAATGCTACTGAGAGCTTCTGATGCTCACAAGAACCATTTCAAGTAGAAGGAATAATGGGAAATAAACTCGCCTGATCAAAGGATAAGTTTTATCACAGGGGAATCCAAAATTGCTACAAGCAACAGGTCAAGACAGAAATAGTGAAGGTATTGAAAGTACAGTCATAGCCCACATAACAGTGTTTCAGTCAACGACAGACTGTATATACAACAGTGGTCCCATAAGATCAGTACCATTTAGCCTAGGTATGTAGTAGGCTAGGTTTGTAAGTACACTCTATGATGTTCTCATAATGACGAAATTGTCTCATGACACATTTCTCAGAACATATCGCTGTCATTAAGTGATGCATGACTGTAGTTGCCTAAGCCAATATTTTTAACAAACGTTCAGTGTCAATTCTCCCCAATAATATGGAATTAAATACTATAATAGAAACATAATCATGGGGTTCAATGTACTGTTTTTGAAAGAAAAAACAGTTACCACTTATTCATACCTGTGTCTGAATATCATCCCCTGTGACAATGTTTCCCACAGCCCGCAGAGCAGGAGAAACCACTTTATAATCATTATGCCTGCAACCATAAAAAGAAATGTTACATCTAACAGTGCTTTCCTTAGTTACTCTTCCTTAGGGCTTAAATCAAAACCTAATAATGTAACAGGATCTTAGAGTAGGAAGGTACCTATAGCGGTATTAAGGGACCCCTATTGCGATGATGGAATGTTTGGTGTCCCCTAGAAGGGTTGTCTTTCCCTTTATTAGTATTTTTGGAAAAAAACTACAAATCTTTCCTAATAATCTTTCTCAGGTATTCCATCTCCTGGATTGCAAGTTTTCCCTCTCATTCTTTAATACAGGTTTCATTTCCTCTTCACTTGATCTCTATGGTTACTGAGATAATGGAGAGCAAGAGTTAACACTTATACAGTACTTTTAACTTTCATAAACTGTGTAATTTTCAGAGATGAAAATAAGTCAACAGTTGAAATAACTTGAAAATGAAAGACAGGCTTCACACTTCATACAGTGAATTCTTTCTACTAAACCTCAGCTGACTTACTAGTCAAAGAAAAACCCTCCACAAACTCTTTATATATTTGAAGACAGATATTAAGTCTTGATTTCAAGCAAAATAAGTTAATATACTTTAACTTTCCTTAAAAATCCTATTTTCTCCCCCCTTTAATAAGATTGATCACTCTTCCCAAAACTGTGCCAACTCCTTCACATTTATTTTGAGATCTGAGAACTAAGAACAAATGGCTAAAATATATAGTAATCTAGTGACTAAAGAGTACAAAAGATTACTTCCCACATTTCGAATACTGTTAATTCTGACTCCTGCAGCATGTTATTGCTTTTAATTCACAATAGCATTATGCTGCTCATCTGCATGCAATCTGTGGCTAGCTATAACCCTGGAGTTTCGTGTTCTGTACAGTATACTTATCTAATCATCCATTCCACGTGTCACATTTGGGGCAATGTCTCATTGTATCTACTTTGTACCTACTTTAAATTTTCTGTGGCTTGTAGTTGCACCATTTCTCCATTAGGTTATCACTCTAATTTTTTTCTTCTAAAGTACTATCTAAAAACTTGATTAACACAGTCTCAAATTATTTATGCCATCAGTAAATCTTCCACTCCATAAATCAAAGATCACATAGAGACAGAGGAAAATAAAATTCAAGTCTGATACCAGTCTAGTCTACCTCTAAAAGAGACAGAAAGACAAGGAATGACTATTTTTAGTGCCAATATGCTTTTTGCTATCCAGTGATTAGTCTCAAGTCATTAAGTATAAGCTAGAATAACATGGATCAGTTTTCCAAATGTTTCCATTGAAGGACTGCTAACAGCAGAAGGGTGAGAGGTTCTTTATAAGCCGCAAAACAAAGAGATTTGACATCAACGTAAAAAAGTAACAAAAGACAGCAACCCAAAGCACAATAAATCAGTATAATGTATTAACTCATATTTGAGTATCAGCAACTAGAAAACTAATATAGAGACAAAACAGCAAACACATTTTCTTAAAGATAACTTACATCAGCAGCTCCACAAGTCTCCTACACACTCCTGCATCAATGACTGCTTGAATTTTATCATTAGGTCCATCAGACAGATATGAGAGAGCCCAGCAGGCATCAGCAAGCACATCAGTGTCACTGACAAACAGCAACCAGGAAAGCACATTCAGACAGGGGGAAACCTGTAAAGACAAGATGATATGATTATGAGACACAATAGAATAAAAGTCAGAAGTGAGGTAGGAAACTCCAGAAAGCAACCAGGCACAGCCTAGGTGACTTTTGGGGGGATTAACACTTCTAGAGATGAAGTAGCAAGTGGCCAAGGGGCATTGCCATCTTTGGGAATGCTATCAGCGGCCTTGCAGTTTACTTTAATGAGGCAGTCATAGCCTGAGGAAAATAATTTGAGAGAGTAAAGTCTAATATATACCAATTCTCAGAGTGAGATTCCTTGTCAAAACACACTTTGTAGATTAAAGAGGTAAAGGAACTTTCACAAGTGCTAAAGCTACAAAATTCTGTATTTTAGATATTTTCTTATGAACAAAAAATGCTAGGTTTTAAGATTAATTCAGAGCTCTTTATAGGCAGTGAAAATTTATCCCAAATTAAAAGAAAACCAAACAACGAAAAGTCCTATTTCTCTGAAAACAGATAAAATTCTAACACATTTTAAATTTTATCAAAAATTATCATCTCTCTTTTCACATTAATTTGGTGGCTACACTCTTTTAATTCTTCCTTTTCTGCCAATTTCCCACAAGCATAATCTTTACCTTTGCAAATTCTGGAGGTGGACTTTTCCCTCTACAGAGATTAGACAAAGCCCATACTGCATTCCGAGTCATGGTCAGGCGGTTCTGCTTTGAAAATAACCTACAAGCATGAGGATACAACGGTAAACCACAGAATAAACATTAATTCTCTGATGGCATAAGAAAAACATTAAACCATTTAATGCTATTGATAAACAGAGGTCTTCAGATAGCTTTTCTCCAGAACAATAAAGTTTATTAATTCAAACACAACTAATTCAGAATTTTGGCACTGGAATAAGGATGCATGAAGAAACGATCTGAACAAGTTACCAAGAAAGTATCTATAATGAAAAATAACACTAGGAAATCCAAAATGATTTCCAAAAATGCACTGCTTTCTAAGGAACTTCCCATATTTTTCTTAATAAAAAAAAACAAAACAGAAACTTACTGCAAAAGAGGGGGAAGAATGTTGCAGTCTAAGACATAGTCCCTGCACATGGTACTATCTCCAGCAATGTTGCCAAGAGCCCAGACTGCCTGTGAAAGAATTATTCATTAATGGCAGGTTGTATAGTTTAATTCTCTCATAACTCTTTCAAAAAAGATGCCAACATATCACAACTCTTTATAAAATTATACAGTAGTTAAGCAACATACTATACACGGACATTAACTACTATTAACACTCCTAAGTTGACTCATCAGAAAGTCAAATGAAATAGTTGTGGGATTAGGGGAAGAGGATCAGTAATATTATGAAGATCAATAATATTATAAAGTGTACTGTAAACAATAATGGCAGTAAGCTTATTAAAGGGAGGAATCAGTTCTTATACATATTCTTTACCTAAGGGGACCCCATCCCTAAGTAATATTCCATACAGCCCTTGGTACAGAGCAGAGATTCAAACGGCTTACTCAGCTGATTAAAAATGTATTTTAAGCTTGCTTACAAAAGAAAACAGTGAACAAAGAATTTAAGAGCCATCAAAATGCAGATAATTCTATTAAACTTTTGCGGGTGATAGATATATTAATTATCTTGACTGTGATGATGTTTTCATGAGTATATGCATATGTCAAAACTCTCAAATTGTACACTTTAAATATATGCAATTTATTATAAGTCAACCATACCTCAAAGTTGTAGAAGATCATACTCACTCGGCAGTAATTTATATTTACACATTTGTGTTTGCAGTAATAAAAAATTCATGTTTTCTAAGTCTTTTACTGCAAAAAAGTGGCAAAGACCTGCTACTTCAATAACACTAGAGATTCATACAAGAAAAAGCAGAGTAACTGCTTATGTGGTCTAAAAAGTACATCTATAGGAGTTAAGGAATTTCAGAGTTGGAAGGGAAAAATGGTTTTATGTTTCTAGGACAAATTATGCCTATATTCATTATGAAATATTCTGTTTTGGTTAAGGATTGTCATGGCCAAGTGGTGAAACTGAGGTCCTAAATCTAGGACCACAGAGAAAAATTGTATTCTTTCATCTGCTTCTCTTTATCTGTTTCATTTTTTACCTGCTCCTGGACATCTTCAAACTCTGAGCTGAGCAACTCTATGAAGATAGGCACAGCTCCCGCCTGAATCACAATCCGGGTCTGAAGAGAATTTCCTGAAGCAATATTTGTCAGTACCCAAGCTGATTCAAACTATAAAGATAAAAATAATTTCATTATCTTATTAGAATTTAAAAGCTTGTTTACTTTTAACTATAAGGTTTTCTGTACATGAAGAAAAGAATCTGAGATCATTATTTGCATATAATCTAATACATTAATTTTAAAAGAAGGTTTCCCAGAAGAAATACCTCAGCCTAAAGGAACAGTCAGGGTGCCTAAAATTTCAGATCAAAGTAGAGTTAACATGAGACCAAAGCAATGACAGCGCTTCATGTGCTGATATGGAATGATCTCCTAAGAAATGAAGGAAAAAAAAAAGCAAAACAGTGTATATTAATATGGTATCAATACCATATTTTCTAAAAGAGTTAAGAAGGACTACATGCATTAATTTACTTATTGCACAGAATATCTCACAAGAAACTATACATATCTGTTACCCACATGGAGAAGTCAGGGAACAAGAATGGAAAGGAAAGGCACTTTCATTGTAAAGCTTATGTACATTTTGGCCTTAAACCACGTATATTATCTAATAAAAAATTAAATAATTTCTATAGGATTGGCAAAAGTAAAATGAGGAGTGCATGTTAGTATAAAATGTACAAAATATAAGCAGAGTGAAAAAGGCAAAAGATATTTTAAATGATAAATAGGCTAAAGAGAGTTAACAGGCATACAATTATTAACAGAAACGGCAACTTCTGAGCATAAGAGCTTCCAATAAATGAGAACACTCCAAATCAAGGCACAAAGGTAAGTCTTTCTTTTTCTTTTTTCATGAGGAAGATTCGCCCTGAGCTAACACCCACTGCCAATCCTTTTTTATTCATTTGAGTAAGATTAGCCCTGAGCTAACATCTGTGCAATCTTCTCTACGTTGTATGTGGGATGCCTCCAGAGCATGGCTGATGAGTGCAGTAGATCCACACGCAACCAGGATCCAAACCCGTGAACCCAGGCACCAAAGCGGAGCGCACGGAACTTTAACCACTCAGACACGGGGCTGGCTCCAAGGTAAGACTTTTTTAAAAAGAGCATTCTTAAAGGTTGATAAATTGATCAACAGAAAGTATGAAGGAAATTATGGTCAACAAAAATACAGCATATTACTAATTTTACTATCTCTACAATAACTTGACTCTCTAGCCTAATACAGAGAAATCTAAGCATGAACTCTTACAATTCTATTTAGTTAACAGTTCTTAAACTTTAGTTTTGTTTCCTTCTCCCATTCTGTCTTCTATTTATCGTTTAATGAAGCACATAAGCAGAAAAAAAAATTCAGTGGTATGCTCCTTAAATGAGAGACCAATAAAAAGCGATCAAAAGATGGAGCTGTGACTCTTCTAAGCTTTTCAGTCAAGAGAAAGGCAGCTGTCAAAAGGAAAACTAAATCATCATTCATTGGGGGTGGGGGAAATGGAACAAAATGGGAAGATAATCTGATTAGCACAGTTCAAAGCCATATGAACGACAGCAAATTCACAGCAGAAGACACCTAAAGAAGCCAATGTTCAAAAAAACCTATAAATGTGACATACACAAGTGAGACAAAATGGTTTGGTAGCCTAGCTGGACGGTGATACCAGGCAGCATGGAGGCCCAGACTAGGAACACCACAGTTAAAGGAAACATATTTTCTGACTGGTAACTTTTTGTTATAAGAGAAGTACAAGAGACTTTTAAACAGTGAATATCACATATCACCTCTGTAATTAAATCACTACTAAAACCAATGCTCAAACCTTTCAGTCAGTCTGAATTGAAACTTTACACTTGTACAGTAATTTATATTTTCAAAGCATTTTTCACATACTCTCAGGTGTTCCTCACAACAACCCAGAAGTCTGGCTTTTTTAGTTTATGAATGAGGAAACTATAAGAAAAAGATTCAAAAATCTGACCAATGAGTTCCATCACAGGACTAGATTATGGCCTTCTAAGCTAGCAGGCTTATCCCAGCCAGTTTCCTCTCCGAAACATACCTGGTAACATTGACAAAAATCTTTCAATTGCTTGTAGTTTTGCTAACTAGGGCGAGAAATTTCAAATAATGATATGCCAGATTATTTAGTGACTGCTAAAAAGAAAACACACTTCAGCTAAAATGTAGTTTCTTTTGCTTACTAGAAAAACTAATTAGTAAAACAAAGGCATATGATACGAGTACAAAAGCAAACTTTCCTACCAGAAGGCAGGCTCAAAATTCAACAGAGTAACCAGATACAGTAGAGACCAAGTCAAAGAAATGAAAACTATGAGGAAAAGTAATGTGTAAAGGATGAGTACGATCAGCATACACACTAATCCATATCAAGGAGAAAACAGATTGCAGTGAAATTTTGATGCAAAAGACACGGTAATAATAACCTCAGTATAGGTTATATTAAAGACTTATCTTTAATGAGACAGAAGAAGAAATTATAATATTAATTGCTGCCAGAGTTCGAAGTGCTATCTGTCTGATAAGGTTTAGCACTAAACATCTCACAAGAAATGCAAGGGAATTCCAGATGCTACCGAAGTAAATAAAATAGAAAGATGGAGAATAAGTGAACAATAGCCTGAACATGGATGGAAGAAAATTGGAAATCAGAACATCTCAGCAAAAGAAGAATGTACCAGACTTAGTTTATTTACTAAGAAGTACACAGTGAGGATAACCCCTGAAAGCAAAGAAGATTCAAGGTCTCTCTTGGTTAAGAATAGAAATCAGAAAGTAGTTTTGCCATTACTGGGGACAGAAACAGATGAATAACTATAACCAGGAGGCCACTGAAAACTCAATCATATTCATGCATTAATAAGGCATTAAAACACATACACACACACTCTCGTGTGGTGATTACTTTGATGTTTACCTTGTAAAAAACTTACCACACTATATCTATGCAATGTTCTATAATACCATGTGTGTATGTGTGTGATATGTATGTATGTATGAGAGAGGAGGAGGAAGGAGAGAGGGAGAGAAAATTCCTCCCATGAGTATAGGCCTCTGTTAAAGTGTTGGGAGAAACAACTTTCAAATGTGTTTAATATGTAAGTATATTTTTTAAAAGCTGGTTGTACTTTGAACTACGAAACTTCTCTTTCACTGGGTCTTTTTTTTTGAATGTTTGGGCCTTGGGTCCCAGATTAGAATTTAACACAAAAGAGAGTTGTGAAACAGGAAAGGCCAGAATTGATAGCAAAAACAACTGCATAAAGTTATGACAGAGATGGCCAGAAAAAGTAATTTAAGTAAGTAACCATGCGACTCAAGAAAAAAATCAGTAAGTTGAAAAAAATCTAAGAAATAGTATTACCTAAAGTAATAAATAGTAGCCAATGTAACTATAATCTCTGCTTCCTCTTTGTTGTTTTAAACTACTATATTCTTAGTGTTCCAAGATGGCATCATGCCAAGGATACAAGCTGTCAAACAGCTGTGAATGCTTATAAACTGTAATGCCACTACTATTTTTCACTGTCTAGGACTTGCTAAATAAGCCTACAACTGAAATCTGAAGGGCACACTGAAGGTTTCAGATTTCTCTCTTCCCTTTCTCAGTCTCTACCTTCTGGTGCTCAGTTCCTAAAATAAGGAAAATGAGAATTCAAAGCTGAAGTACTTCTGACCTCCTATCAAGTTTCCCACTCCAGGTTGAGGTACGCCTGGTTCCCTTTCTCCATTTGGATCAGGACTCTGATGCTGGCCACTTTGCCGGGTCCACTCTGGTTCCTAGCAAATGCCAGGCTCACCTGGAGAGCAAGTGAAAAGAGAGGCTCACATCAGAAAAATAAACCCAGATATCAAACTCTGCAGAGAATGGTGCCTGAGTCATCTAAGCAACCTTTCAAGAAAGGGAGAGGGATCAACGAGGATGGGAAAAGACGGAGGAGGAGGAAGCCTTACTGCAGTTTATCGACACATTAAGCTCTAGAGGGGCCAAGAAAGGAGGAATGGGGAAACTAAACAAATTTAATTCAAATTTACAACTTTAAGAGAAGGATCTGTCTAATGATTGGAACTAAAAGGCAATTTACTTATTTCTAGCTATTTTTATAAGCTTCTATAAGAAGTTTTGGGAATGCAACATCTCAGTACTACATAAGATAGTAAAGGATGCTGGGCCTGGACTCAAAAAACCAAATAAAGTGGGGACAGGAACTATACCATAAGGCAGACCAAGCTAACGTCAAGACATCAAGTATGTCTGAAGCCTACATGTCACTGAGCTTGAGAATGCTCTTAGCTAAATTGCATTGTTCACTTCTAAAATCCTAGATTCCACCCATGTTCCTCTCATTTGAGGGGAAGCGAGTATGTGGGTAGCACTCACCAAAGTAGGCATTTTTATGTCCCTAGTTTGAGATACCTCACTGATCTGGGGATAAGGAAAGCCAAAAAAGAAGTGAAGAGACCGTTCCCTAGGATTCACAGTTCTTTACAGAATGAAGGGATTAAGATTGTCCACAGGATTTATTAGTGAGTTTAACTATTATGACCATATATTACTCTCTTTCTGGAAGAGAAATGGCAAAAGCCCCATTCCAAAGATACACTTCAAATTTCTAGTAAGCAGGTAGGAGTATCAGGGACAACTTGCATCCTAGTGCTCTCCAAGAAGACAAAGGAAGGAGTACCCTCCAAGCTTCCCAGAGCATGTCTAATCATTTGAGCATGAAGCCTCGTGGCTCTAAGGTCTCCCTCAATATACTTGCTTCTCCTGCTTCTGGGCTGGTCAAGGTTACCTGTTAATCACTAGAGAAAAAAAACACTACATTGTGCTTAAATGTACATAGAAGAAAAGCTGGGGAAGATGCCCTTTAGATAATAAACAGATTGGTTATTTTTCAGTCTTTGGACAGCTAAGGTGAAAAGCATGAGGTGCTCACTTCCAGAGGAATCACTTCTCAATCATTCAGCCTAATTATTAGTTTGCTTGAGGGTGGAATCTGAGAATTTAGATAGAAAGAAATTAGAGATTTCTGAAGGCTTTCATCTTCATGTGTGTTAAGATACAGGTTCTAAGATTACAAATCAAAAATGATGTAGAATTTACATGTGTGAGCCAGGAGAGGACACTGTCTGAGAGAATATACTGTTCTCTTTAGGGAGTACTAAAGAACGCAGAGATGCGGAAAGACTATTTCTCTGATTTTTTTCATTTTAGGCCTAGGAGGTTATATCATCTTTCTTTAATGCATTAAGTAAGACTGGACCTCTGCAACTACCTATTAAAAATTGCTAGATCTATGAGTACATTCAGTGTCTCTGGACTACTCTCATGTCAGAGACAGGAGAGAAACATTTTTACATGAACAAAACAATAATTTTCCCTACCTCCCTTGTCCTATAAAGCTTTTCAAATGATAAACTGCAGTAAGGCTCTTCATTTGGTCCCTCTGGTTCTCTTGGCAGGTTGCTTTGGGGCTCAGGCTCTGTTCTCTGCAGTGTTGGTTGTCTGGATTTCCTTTTTTCGGAAAAAAGGCTCTCTTTCCTTGTTCTCTAGGTGTACCTGATTATTTTTCAGGTGTCTGGTGATCCTGGCCTTAGATGGGGACCAGAATTACAATCCAGGAGGCAGCTAGCAAAACAGAATCTTAATTCAAATGAACTTGGGAATTAGTAAATGTCAAACTGGAGAAGAGAAACTGATGGGACATTGAAGTACTCTACCTTTTCTGGATTTCTTGTTTTTCCTCTGGAAGGAACTCATCACCGCAACAAAGAGAGTAAAAGGAGGAGAAAGATGGGGTGGGAGGAAAGGAGAGAAAATATCAAGACAAAGCATCAAGTCTTATGAATTATTTACAATGCTCTGGACAGTAAGGAACCTGGGGACAGGGGCTGTCATTTACCAACACACCCCAATCCCTACAGCCTTAGACCAAAGCAAAAGCAAATGAGGGGGTGAGAATGATCTTTATGATTCCCTTGCTATTTGCAAATACTGACTTGGAATGATCACCCCATTTTGTGATCTACTTGGCACCTAACCCATTTTTATGGTTGCAGAGTCTCTCTAAAGGGCCTGAGCCCTTTAGATTAGATCCTACAAGTGAGAATTTAGGTATCACAGGTATCTGTAACAGAATAATACAGAAATTGATTCAGTTGATTACTCCAAGGAAGTCTAGTTACTGAAAAATTACCAGTTTACTAAAAATCCAACTTTATTCAGGAAAACAACAGTATTTTAAAATTCTGAAAATTATCCAATCCAGAATTTCTTCTTGGAAATTTTAGAATTTCTTCTTGGAACCCCTATATAATACAGTATTGACAGACAATATTAACATAGCAGAAAGCATACAGATTCCTGACAAAGCTATCTCCTTGTCAGCTCTTCTGGAGACAGGGGAGGATTAATAGGAGCAGGTTTGGGGATTCCTGAGTCTCTGATCTAGCCCATGTTACACAGCCCTGAGAAACCCAACAAGTATAATCTAAAAAATCCTTCAAAACCAAATTTTGCGTAGCCCACGCTTGGGTCCTATCTATAACGGCTCCTCTACGGCAAACAATTCCCTATTAGATAAGTATTAACCACAATCATCATAAAATAATCTTTTACGTAACTAAAAATGACAAAAATTCTAAAAAGTAAAACCAAGGGCTTGGATGTTAACAAAGCTATCAAAGCAGCTTGCAATGTGGTTCTCAGGAACACCATTATAAAATTAACCCTTCACACAGATTAAAATAAGTAACAAATCTATGTACAACATGTAAGTTTCAAAGGGAATTAAGATACGAGGCAAGAAATGAAAACAGTTCATACCTGGAGTGTACAATTCTCTTTTCGTTTGAGGAACTCCACAAACCTGGCCACTACTCCTGGTGTGCTGATGACTTCATCAATAGGAGGATTAGGTTCTGTCTCCCCATAAAATAAAAGAAGAAAAACAATCCTTTGATTTCAATGCAAGCACTTTACAGCTCAAAAGTACTTCATACTATCCCTCCCTCCATTTTAGCATCTCTTTCACGTTGGAAATCTTAAAAAGAAAGAAAATGTAAAATTGAGTTCAGTCTCACTCAGACTAGGGTAGTTTGAAAAGTTTCCCAGTAAGGTAAGTTTTAACATGGAAATAATAGTCAAAATTCTTAAAAATTAAGATTACTGCCTCTACTATTTTACAAAATTTAGGAAGTAGGGGAAAAAACATCCAAAGGCAAGCATTGTTATTATTTTTGTATACTTCCTTCTAGCCCATTTTCTCTGTAGGCGTTTTGAGTCTGTCTGTTTTGTTTAACATAAACTGCCTTAAGAAACTGGATTAGGAGATTCTGAGTGTGCTTGTAAGATTTAATTTTACAGCTGTAGTGATAAGCAGAAGCCAGTAAGAATTCACTAACGATGACTTGCCAAATTAATCTCATTATCTTTTATGACAAGAGTATCTTATAAATGAAGTCATTCAATGGAAACTTGTTGGGTGAATAGATAAGAAACATCCTAAACAATCAGCATGGCAATTTCAGCAAGAGATCTGACAAAGTTTTTGATGACAATCATGAAACAACGGAAGAAAAATGGCAGTCAGATTACAGGACTACTAGGAATTCTTAGCCAAGTCAATGGCCTTACTGAAAGAGCTGACTAACGGTCCAATGTTAATTTGGAGAGCTCTAGTGACATTACTTTCTCTGATTCAACATTTTAATCAACCATTCAGACAAAACACAGCAAATAAATATGATGATTACAATAAAGATGAAGTATGGTACATTATGGAAACAACATACGGAAAGAACAATAAGCCAAAGTTAGCAATAAAACAACAGGGACAAAGCAAACTTCATCAACTGAACTACTACTATAGGGTTTTAAGTATTTACTACTGACGTTTTAATATGGTTCAGGGTTCCAAAGTTTTTCTTTTTGGAGGAAGATTAGCCCTGAGCTAACATCTGCTGCCAATCCTCCTCTTTTTGCTGAGGAAGACTGGCCCCGAGCTAACATCCGTGCCCATCTTCCTCTACTTTATGTGTGGGAGGCCTACCACAGCATGGCTTGCCAAGCGGTGCCATGTCTGCACCCGGGATCCAAGCCAGCGAACCCCAGGCTGCTGAAGCGGAACGTGCGCACTTAACTGCTGTGCCACCGGGCCGGCCCCCAGAATTCTTTTTACTTGCCCAGGATGACAAGAAGCACCATTCTACCCTAGTTATACAAAAAAGTAAGGCGACACTGCTCACCAAGAAACTCATACTTAAATTTCAGTCATAAACTGCTAACATTAAAATCAATAATCATTGCTCTTTCAAGTGATATTTTAAAAGTTTTTCTTAAAAAAGAGTGGAGCTGCTTAATTTGAATTAACATGAAATACTGACTACTGTTCTTATCACTTTAAGGTCTTTTATAAGACATCTCAGAAACGAAAATTATGCTGCTCTCTGGTCCTGGTAAGATTGCATAAATAAGGAAATTCAAAAGTTAGCCATGGCTCATAATTATATATATGTCTCTATGTGTCCTTTTATTCTATTTATAGACATACTCCAAAGCAAGTTATATGTGGTGTGGGAAAAACAAAAGACTATGGGAAAGTAACATTTTGAAAATAAATGAAAAGATATACCTAACATATTCAGAACTCACCTTTTGAAAGCAATTTTCTGAATTTCTGTGTTGCTGAAAGCTGTTGTTCTGGGATATTGGAAAATATCATTTCAATCATGTCAGAAGTAATAACACCACCCTGGGATCACAAATAAAAAGCAAAAATAATAAAATTTTAACTTTTATTCAAAGGAAAACAAAAACAGTATAAATTGTGGTCAAGTCATTAAGTTAATCATATTAATCTAGAAGAGTTACACAAAGGTAGGACAATCTTTACATGTAGAAATGTATGAGATGATTAATAACGTGATGAAGCCAACTTCTTTGCCTATCATTAAAAAGCTCACAACAGTGAGAAAGCAATCTTAGCAGTAAATACTAAGACAAGGTGTTTATTATTCTTCCTCTCCTTGCTCACCACATGGCTCACTGTTCCTTGTCATTCAGATTAAATTTTAAATTCTAAGAGAAGGATTTCATGACTTCAAAATCTAAAGCAGCCACTCTATCTCTATCATATCGCTCTATTTAAATCCTGTGCCCAGTCCTTTTCACTATCAGATATTTTTCTTGGTTATTTCCTTACTGCCCACGTTCCCCCAGTATACTGTAAGCTACTTGAAAGTCAAAGACTGTCTATCTCACCACTCTACCACTGATGGCTGGCATACAGTTCATGCTCAACAAATACCTACTGAATGAGTACAGAATAGTCTTGTACAAATCACAGATTCTAGCCGTCACCAAATTCAACAGCTGACTCAAATTTATTTAAAATTCCTATTTTCTTGCCTTATTAAAACTTTTAAGTTTCCCACTATTTTCTGGCTTTATTAGAACTTTTCTATTTCCCACTACAACCCATCTACAGTATTAGTTGTTAACTTTCTTCTCAGGATCATTTGTCATAATGAAAAAAAGTTCTTATTTCATGAAGGGTTACAGTCAACAAGATGAACTGAGAAGAAAGCTGCACTGAGTTGTAAACACTAGATGGTTAGTAAGTAATATGCAACATTTAAGAACATTCATGGGGAGAATGAAGCATTCTGCTATTAAGAGTCAGAAAAGTAACCTCTTTGAAACTTACAAGACTGATTCCTGAATAAACAAAGGTACCTATATGATTTTGTTATGAATATGTTTGCAAATATTTATATACTTCTGTTTTCTTCCCTCTTTTATCTCCTTATTACATAACATTAAGATGTACTGACTTTACAGTCATAGTACTGAAGTATTGTTAACCTTACATCATAGTATTTAATTCACAAGATATCAAGGAGAGGAACCAACATTACCCAAGGACTTTGCATCCTCTTCTGGGGAAAAGGTTAGTGCGTTTTCAGTTGCATGCAGGACAGTTATACCATGTTACATGGATGTATGACTTTACTGTCTTTATTTGAAACTCAGTATGGTTTAACGGTTGTGTATGGATGCCAACTTGACAAGGAGTGAACTAGGATGATAAATTTTATGTCAACTTGCTTAGGTGTACAGTACCCAGTTGTTTAGACAAACATCAGTCTAGATGTCACTATGAAAGTACTTTTTTTATATCTGATTAAGATTTAAATCAGGACACTTGAGTAAAGAAGACTACCCTCCAAAATGTGAGTGGGCCTCATTTAATCAGTTGAGCAAAGACTGAGATTTCCTGACGAAGAAATTCAGCCTCAAAACTGCAACATTAATTCTTACCTGAATTTCCAGGCTCCTGGCTTGCTCTATGGATTTTGGACCTACCAGCTCAACAACTGCATGAGCCAATTCCTTCAAATCAATCAATCAATATCTCTCTCTCCTGTTGGTTCTGTTTCCTCTGTAGAACCCTGACTAATACAGTCCACAAAATGCTTCATATTCATTTAACATCCACTTGAAAAAAAAATGGACAGCTCAACTTTGTGAAGGGCCTAGAAGAAATCACCCCAAATGGTAATATTGGCTACAATGTCTACATAGATTCCAAAGGAATTTAAACAGCTCTCCTAATTCCAAAAGAAAACTAGTCCATAAAAACTGGAGATCTATGAAGCGAAAAAAGAAACATCTATAAAATCCTGTGCACAATATGCCACTATTTGCCCAAAAAAAGTGTGGGGGGGTGAAGGGTTGGGGGAGAGGGGAATTTTTCTCAAAAAGAGTAAATAAGAATCTAGTAACAGTGGTTGCCACTGGAAAGAAACTGGGTGAGATAAAAGAAAGACATATTTCTTTTTTTTGAAAACCATGTATATATATATGATCTAGTAACACATTACATAATTGATTACAATAAACTGGAAATCTAGACAGGTGTGATCCATATAAAGCGTATTAACTAAGTAATTTTTACCTGTTTATCTGACTTCAAGAAAGTTACAATATAGGTTATAATAGAAAGATTTTAAATCATATAAACATGTCCAATTTTATAACTGAAATGAATAACAAATTAGGATTTCCTTTAATGTACCCTTTGTTACTCAACTTTTAAAGAATCCATTTATTTTATAATTATCCTTGTCTAAGTTTTAATCGCTGAATTAATCTTCAAAATTTAGTTAATTCTGTTTAACTGCATGTTATTAAAAATATAATAAACATGTAATGAACCATTAGATTAAGTATATGGCTTCTTTTGAAAAATGAAATGCCAAGTACTTTTTGTAACCATCTAACCTCTATTTTAAACCCCAAAAAAACAGATCTAAACCTCAGATCTTCAGCAGAAAAACACTAAAAAGAGTTTCTTCCATTATCTTACTCACTGGTGCCATCTCCATGTTATTAATCTGAGCCTCATGGAAACCTCCATCTGACATAACTTCTTCTTCTGTTTCTTCTTCTGCTGTAGCAACATTTCTTCGTTTGAATAACTGAAAAATAAAAGACTATTACTAAAGTAATGCTAACACAAGGGAGTTCAATATCCAAACACTAAGCACTCCACTTAAAAGGCAATAAGAATGGAGCTTTCTAAAAATCATTTTAAAAATTCTAAACTTTTTCAATTTTACGCTGACTTCGATCTTTCCTGACGAGGACCTATTTCAGAATTCTTCAGTCTTATAATCTGATGCAGTTAACTATCAAAACATGCTATTACCAACACTTGATACAAGGTAAAACTTACTAAGAGAGGCCTGACACTGCACAATATATCAAAAAGGTAAGGTTGGAAAAACGAGCTGGGGCATGTTTGGCCATTTCCCTTTTCCCTCTATGCCAAGTAAGTGATAGGACAGTATTACCAATACATCAGGGGGAATGAATATAAAAATGACTTCACGATGACTTAATACTTCCCTCCTAACCATCAAGGGTAGTGAATTCAAGCTTCTTGACCTTCCCAACCTGTCCAGCAACCAGTGATGACAAATGACTACTGTTTGAACACTACCTTTAAAGCATCCATTAATTTGTGCATGCAAAGGAGAATAGTTCTCTCCAAAGGCAGCAACTAAGGTGGCTTGCATTATATCCTTAAGAGTCCTGGGCAGTACGCTTATTCATCAAGCCATGATAGAGTAAAAGTTACTTATCCTCTCAGCCTGTGCAACTAAAAAACCAGACAAAATCCATGAAATAACGGGTTTCAGCCATCAGACAAGCAGTTGCACGGACAGTGACCCTTCAGAAAAGAAAAGAAACAAGATTAGCCCTATGATTGATTCAGATTATTGTCTGGACAGAGTTTCCAGGCTGCAGTACAAGGAAGATGAACCCAAACAGGGCCTTCAGGCTCCCTCAGCTAAGGAGACAGAATTCAGAACTGAGGAGGCCAAGACACGTAGAATCCAGAAGGAAGAGTACTGAAGAGGAGAGATCAACACATAAAGAACGCCACAAATCTGCAGAAGATTCCCCTTGAGTCTTTAGCTAGTACTGATCACGACTGCCGTGTGAGGAAAAGATCCAAAGCTGGGAAAGGAACCACCTTCAAAGAGCATGCAGAACAATTGTGGAGGTCACACAGGTCAAGGGATAGTTCATGTTTCAACCAGTGGGAACAGAAAAGACTTCCTAATCTATGTGACACTGAGTAGAATACTCATGGGTATTGACTCAATAATGAGGCTAAATTAGCCCTAGATTAGAAGCTGTTCTGGTCCAGCCCTATGAAACATAAAAGCAAACTGGTTCCACTTAACTACATCCATTGACAAAGTCAGGATTATACATATTAAAAGAATACGAAATTATATTTATTAAAAGAATATGAAAAACTCCAACACCAAATGAGGTAAAATTCACAATGCCTGGCATTCAATCGATAACTACCAAGCATACAAAAGAAGTAGGAAAAGACTACCCATGAGGAAGAAAAAAAACTATCATATTAATCAAAACCACCTGAAAATGACAAAGATGGCAAACTGGACAAGGACATTAAAATAGCTGTTATAAATATATTCCACATATTCGAAAAGCAGAAGAAAGTATAACCATGAGAAGGACAGATAGGAAGATATGACCAAAAAAAGCAAATCAAAGACCTAGAAATGAAACATACAATTTTTCAAATGAAAAGTACACTGGATGGAATTAACAGCAGATTAGATATTGTAGATTAGTGAATTTAAGGACATACACAGCAACAGAAACACTCCAAAATAAGACAGAGAAAAAAGGCTGAAAAAATATGTACGAAACATAAGTCAGCTATGGGACATCAAGTGGCCTAATATACACACATTGAAGCCCCAAGGTTGGGGTGGGGGAACATATCTGGAAAATTAATGGCCGAAAATTTTCCAAACTTGTGAAAAATACAAACCCACAAATCCAAAATTTCAAAGAATCTCAAGAAGAGATATGAAGAAAACATGAAAGCACATCATAATCAAACTGCTTAAAATCAAGAATGAAAAGATAATCTTAAAGCAGCCTGAGGAAAAAAGACTTTTTCAAAGCAGGAAAACAAAAGATAAGAACGACGGCAGACTTGCTGCTGAAAACAATGAAAGACAGAAGAATATGGATCAAACATATTTAAAGTATCAAAAGAAAAAGACTGGGGGCAGGCCCCATGGCAGAGTGGTTAAGTTCCCACGCTCTGCTTCAGCGGCTCAGGGTTTTGCCAGTTCGGATCCTGGGCGCGGACACGGCACCGCTCATCAGGCCATGTTGAGGTGGCATCCCACATGCCACAACTAGAAGGACCCACAACTAAAATATACAACTATGTACAGGGGGGATTTGGGGAGAAAAAGCAATTAAAAAAAAAGAAGATTGGCAACAGTTGTTAGCTCAGGTGCCAATCTTAAAAAAAAGAAAAAGACTGCTAACAACAAAGGTGAAACAGACTTTTTTCAGACATATGAAAGCTGAAAGAATTCATTACCAGCAGATCAGCTCTGTAAGAAAATGTTAAATGACATTATTCAGACATAAGGAAAATGACACCAGATGAAATATAAGAGCTACAGAAAAGAATGACGAGCACCAGAAATGGTAAAAATGTGGTGGAATCAGGGCCGGCTCCATGCCCGAGTGGTTAAGTTCGTGCGCTCTACTGTGGTGGCCCAGGGTTCGGATCCTGGGCGCGGACATGGCACCGCTTGTCAGGCCACATTGAGGCGGCGTCCCACATCCCGCAACTGGAGGGACCTGCGACTAAGATATACAACTATATACAGGGGGGTTTGGGGAGATAAAGCGGGGGGGGGGGGGGGGGGGGGAGGGAAAAAAAAAGATTGGCAACAGTTGTTAGCCCAGGTGCCAATCTTTAAAAAAAAAAAAAAAAAAACGTGGTGGAATCTTTCTAAAACTTTCTCATTAAAAAAAGAATGTCTTTAAAAGACAGTTGACCACTTAACACCCACTAGCATGGCTATAATCAAAAAGACAGATAATAAAAAGTGTTGGCATGGATGTGGAGAAATTGAAACCCTCATACATTGCTGGTGGGAATATAAAATGGTGAAGCCTTCTTAGAAAACAGCTTGGCAGTTTCTCAAAATATTAAACAGAGTTACTATATAATCCAGCAAATTCCACTCCTAATATATTTTTAGGGGGTATATACTCAAGAGAAATGAAAACATATGTCCATACAAAATTTGTACATGAATCTTCATAGCAGCTTTATTCACAGTAGTCAAAAAGTGAAACAATCCAAATGTCCATCAACTGAATGAATAAACAAAAAGTGGTATACCCACACAATGGAATACTACTTAATAAAAGGGTTCAATGAAGCACAGGCATACCTTGCTTTATTGCACTTCACAGATATTGCATTTTTTTCTTCTACAGATACTGCTCCACCAGCAAAAGCATTGTCTTGCTGAAGGCTTAGATGATAATTTGCATTAATTAGCATTAAAGTATTTTCTAATTAATTTATATACATTATCTTTTTAGACATAATACTGCACACTTAATAGACTACAATACAGTGTAAACATAACTTTTATATGCACTGGGAAACCAGAAAATTTGTGTGATTCACTTTATTGCAGTGGTCTAGAACTAAATCCACAATATCTCCAAAGTATGCCTATACCATGTTACAACATGGATGAACTATGACAACATTCTGCTGTGCAGAAGCCAATCACAAAAGACCATATATTGTACGATTCTAATTATATGAAATGTCCAGGAATAGGCAAATCTAGAGAGACAGAAAGTAGCTTAGGGATGGCAGGTGGGGAGAGACAAGAAATGGAGTGTGACAGCTAATGGGCAGTGATGAAAACAATCATAAATTGATTGTGGTGAAGGTTGTACAACTCTGAGAATATACTAAAATCCTTTGAACTGTAAACTTTGCATAGGTGACTGTATGGTATGTCAACTATATCTCAATAAAGTTGTTAAAAAAAGATAAGTGACAATTTAAAACAAAAGTAGTAAGAATAGACTGGGGGTTTAATAATGCACATGCAGAAGTAAAAACCATGAATCATGAAGTGGTATAATATCAGTTGAAGGTAGACTATAAGTTAAAGATATAAACCCTAAAGGAAACACTAAACATATATATACACCTCTAATAAAATATATGCTGCCTGTGTAAAACACAATTTAAACATAAAAACACAAATATGTTAAAAGTAAAAAGGAAAAAGATTGCTAATTAACAATGCAAGTTAACAGAAAGCTGGAATAGTGATACTAATGTCAGACAAAGTTGATTTCAGAGAAATAATATTATGAGAAATGAAGGTAATTTCATAATGATAAAGAGATCAATTAGCCAAGAAGACATGAATTCTAAACAGTTATGCACCTATTTAACTGGGAACAGAAGGGAACTTCCTTGAACTCATAAAGGAAATATATGAAAAATCTACAATTAACATCATAATTAATAAAAGATTGATTACTTTTTGCCTAAAATTAGGAGTAAGATAGGTATGTGCAATTTCACCATTTCTATTCAAAATTGCATGGTAAGGTGCTAGTCAGTGCAATCAGGCAAGTAAAAGAAAGAAAAGGCATCCAGATTGGAAAGGAAAAAGTAAAAATGTCTTTACCTATAGTCAACATGATTATCTATGTAGAAAGCCCAATGGAATCTACAAAAAAGCTACTAGAACTAATAAATGAGTTTAGCAAGCTTTAAGATGAGCTACAAAATAAAATTTTATACAAAAACAAACTATGTCTAAATACTAACAATGAACAATTGAAAACTGAAATTTAAAAGATACCATTTACAACAGCATCAAAACCTATGAAATACTTAGGGGGAAATCTGACCAAAAAAATGTGTAAGACCTATACACCAAAAACTACAAATCACTGAGAGAAATTAAAGACCTAAATAAATGGAGAGAATACAACCATGCTTATGAGTCACAAGACTCATTATTGTTAAGATATCAATTCTCCCCAAGCTGATCTACCAATCTAATACAATCAATTT